CAGGACTGAAGGAATGTTGAGCCCTAAACAGAGTCAGATCAGCCTTATAGTATTTGTGATGAATGGGATGAATAGTATCAGCTTTAAAGTGTTGGATCTGTTGCTTTTGTTGTGACTTGTCCTCTGTTTCTAAATTCAGTGATGTTTTATTGATGAATGACAAAAAGATCAAAAGCATTTCTTTTTTTCATAAAAGAAGGTGCACATGAGCAAAATTACCCTGTATGTAGGTTGTCTTAAACCTTTTTTTTAATATATAATCTTTGGGGTTTAAGAATCATTTTTTGCCGATATAATGTAAACAATACACATGAGAAGTTAAAGGAATAGGTTGACATTCTGGGAAATACTTATTTTATTTGTAGTGGAGAAAGGAGAAGAATAAAATCAGTTAATGTGTCCTTTTTATTAGGTATACAGTGCAGTCTGACCTTAAAATCTACTTTTGTAATACTGCACTGCAATGTTATTTTGACAATATTTTTGCAACTCGTCAGTTTTCATCAATTAGACCGCATCTGTTTACAAATGTTATTAGAGAAGAAGAGAATAAAATTCAGTCATTACCTTTTTAATTTCACCGAAAAAGTGAAAATGTAATTGGAGGAATGTACCTTTATTGCACGACACACAGTTTCCATTGTACTTCTATAACATAAGCCTCCTATTAAAGGTAATCTGGCAATCTTAGATTTTACATCACAATTGTGAGCATCATAAAGAGACGGCATTTGTATTCGACTGATTTATACTGCAGATGGGTTCCTAATAAAGTGGTCACTGAGTGCTTAAGTTAACAGGAACACAAAGTATTTCCTGTATGTCAACCTTGTTCTTTTAAACAAACCATTTCATAGTTCCTTTCTGCTTCCTGTTGTACTTCTGGTGGGAAATGGACTAAAATGAGGGCAGTTGAAATGCTGATCAGATGAATAAGTAGAAGCTGGTTAACCGAGCGACTGCACGTAATGAGTCTGCTCTTCATTCAAACAAATGTGCCATTTATGCCCCAATCTGCACCTTTAACGTGATCTAGTGTGGCTCTTCTCTTTTTGTGTTGCGCTGTTGCTTTTTTAAGATGTTACTCAGTGTTATGGAGTTTTCTTCTTCTTCTTTTGTGTGTTGTTTGGCAATAAAGCAGTGTGATCGGCAGGAGTCATCTCTCAGCACAAGTAGGCATATATGCTTAAACTATTTTTATAACCCCAAAGAGCAGTATTATGTAATAGAAGGAGTAAAGCTGGATTCTGTGATGTGTTCGAATTTCAGTTAACACTGGATAGCAATCATTTAAATGTACATTTCAGTTTGAATGATTTTTTTTTTTTCTTTGCTGACAAGTTTCCAGTCCAGTATGTGTTGTTGCTCATTCAGGACAGTGCTGTTGGATTTCTTGGAATTAGTCAAATGTTTAATAAATAAATAAAAATTAAGTGGAAAGTTGAATAGGTTTGCTTTTTACATTTTCCTGACTCAGACTGTAGTGCCTCTTGGAAATATCACCCTTCTTGCTGCTTGTGGTTATGTGATCGAATTTCCTTTTTAAGTTTTGTATAATAACCCACACATTTCAAAGTCCACATATTCAAAATCAAGAGATGAAATGTATGGCTACTGCATAAAGGTTTTCAGTTGATGCAGTATGCATTTCGCACAGTTGAATGCTGCACGTAGATCAAAGCAAGTATGTTTGTTTGTTTTTGTTTTCAGTTTGAATTTTAAACATAAGAAATGATACTGAAATTTTCTTGGCAACATTATCAGAACGGAGACGATGATTCATCTTCGGACTGTATAGGGATATAGAGAAACCAGTCAAACACATTTCTGAATAAAACATTCCTTAAACTTCATGTTGTGCAACTGGTGCTTTGTGGTTTTTGTCTAATTAATCTTCTCTTATCATGTATTATCACACCTATTAGCTCTGGGTAAAAATCCATATGAAATTCATAGCTCAGTGATTTAAGTGGAGAACAGAATGTGTTGCATGTGAGGAATTTAAGTCATTTGGATTTGGTTTATCTCTTGATGTATACTTGATGAAAGGTTGTCACTTTATTTTCCCAGCAATTTTAAGATCTGACAGAAATTAACCAATTAGGTTGGCTTATGTCAGGGGTGTCTCCAGGCCTCTAGGGCTGGTATCCTGCAGGTCTTAGATCTCACCATGGGCCAACACATCTGAACCAAATGATTAATTAATTACCAGGCCTCTAGTGAACTACAAGGCGTGTTGAGGAGGTAATTTAGCCATTTGAATCAGCTGTGTTGGATCAAGGACGCACCTAAAACCTGCAGGACACCGGTCCTTGAGGCCTGGAGTTCGATACCTGCCTCTTATGTTGATATGCAAATATGTTGTTTTACCTGCAGGTAGAGCCCATGAGCCATAACAATAGTAAAGACACTGCTTTAACCAGAACTTTCAGATTTATTATTAAAAAAGCATAATTAATTATTAATTTTTAAGGTGTGTTAGTGTGTCGGTAGTTGGACGAGTGAATGCAAAGCATGTTGTGTACTGTGAAATAAATGGAAAAATGAAGCCAACCAAACTAATGATAGTTGGGTGAAATGTGAGGGCTCAAAGACTGAGATAGCCAGCTCTTAAATGCTCCAGGGAGGTTGGCCAAGTGCTCCCAGCTGCGCTGATTAACACCACATACCAGGAACCTGCAAGACAAACACAGAGGGACAAATTGGGAAAACATACAGCAAGTCCTGGCCAAGGCAGATGGCTGAACTTGGAAACAACCACTCCAATTTTGCCGCTTTCCAGTGACCAGTTTAGAAGTACTTACACGCATTTCTACTAAACAAACAAACAAAAAAAGCTAGTGCCAACAAGCTGGTATGAGCAGGGCGGCACTAAATTGCTGAGCTCAAATTTGTAACTGCTGACATCAGTGGCTTTGGGAGGCTTAGGTTTAGTGCTGCTTGTGATTAGCAGATTACAATCCACAGTTTTTAGCTTCAATTTTCTTTGCACACAAAAGACCCAAGCGTCCTTAAATTCTCAAACATATTCAAATATTGACTAGTTAGAAGACCCCAAGTCACAGCTAGTGCCACACCACTGTCACGCTGGTGGATACCACTTTTTTTTTTTTAGAGTTGGCTCCAGGTTTTCTTTAAGCCCTTTTGCCCTTAAGTTTAAAGCTTCAGTGCCATGACTGCTAAATAAAACCTCTGCTGATGATATCATGTGATATTGATCAGGTACCCCAGCTGACTCCACCTGGCAAAGAGTGCTGACAATATGCTACGTGCTACTGCACATACCAGTCCAGACAGACCGCATGGACACGGTAAAAGTTTTTCTTTTGAATTTTAGCTGGTGAAACTAAAAATCTGAAAAGCCGTGTTTAAATAAAGAGGGAGAGAGTCCTACCAGTGTAGTCTGGGTTGGATACTGAAGGGGCTGCGCTCCAGAGTTCATAACCTGGAGCTGGGAATTAACAGCAGCCAGAATCAAAGGTGCAAAATCCAAGGTTACAGAGAGAGCGATAAAACTGAATTTATCACTGCTAAATTAGCCATGATATTTTAAACAGAACAGAAAATATATCATTAAACATAAGGCATATCCCCTCTGACTCCACAATGATTTGCATGCGTATAAAAGGAGCTGTCAAACTGTGGCAGGGTGCACACGAGCACATCTCACCTCGCATTTTTTTTTTTAGGTGACCTTTGAAAAACCACGTTAAACCATGGCCTCAAATACCTCACAGCAAGTTTTATTTATACATCCAAAAACAAAAGATCAAATTTCTCACACTATATACAGATATTACATACAGTGTTTGTACACATATTACATAATTTGTACACAAGAAAAATATACATAAAAATGTAAACCTTTGTATACAAAAAATACCTTAGACAAATTAAACAAGGACCAATAACAAAAGGTGACTAGATTAGCTCATCCTATCTTTAAAAACAGTAATACAGTACATTCAATGAGTATAGGAATTTGTCAGCCATCTCTGAATTCAAGCAGTTACATGTGCCTACGAGCCCTGTAAATTTTGTTCTACGTGGTTGTCGGGGAGAGTGAACCGGTGCAGCGACTAATCTCATGCTATGCAGGATACAGCAGTATTGTCTCGCTTATTTTCAAACACACTTTCACCCAAACCTGATTCTTCCTATTGACTTCTAGGGGGCGCTGTTTGCGTTACCGTGGTCTCTGAGAAGCCCAGCCGTCCCCGGTGGAGCTACAGGTTTACACTTTGAGACTGTGTTCTCTCTTTGGAAGGGGCGAGGCAGAACTGGGCCTTCTCACAGCTGGAAACGATGGTCCGGCACAGGCTCAGAGCGGCTAATGGTGGTGGCTGTTTGTGTAATGAGCATCCAAGCAGGGCAAAAAAAAAAAGGCAAGACAGACATGGGACATATGAAACACCACCGGTCTCATCCACTCCTGTGCAAATCTAGGTTGAAAAAGTACGCCGATCTGTTCTTCTCCACCATCTGATGCATATAAATCCAATGTTTCTTACCACCAAGAAGCCAGTGATCATCGTCTAATCGTGATATTATTACTACTATTACGCTCTCACACAAAGGGTTGCAGCCCCATGCAATCTCAAGACTTCTTCCTGGAAGTTTAATAGCTATCAAAAATAAAACATATTCTCCATCAGAATTGAAAAAAAAAAAGAAAGACAGCATACAAACAAACAAACATTGATCCCTCCAACAAAGACTTAACAATCATTTTGATAGCCATTAAAAGCAAGACTCATTCTACACAGACACAGGTTCCACTGAACACATTGCAAAGAACAATTTCAATCCATTGCTACTCAATAATTCACCAACAAACCCCAAGATAGAGACTGCTATTCTATATACCTAATACTCAACAATGTCTGATAATCTCTCAAATGTCTAATATATTACTTATCAAAAGCCGTGGTTGTACTGCTGTCGGGGTGGGGGTGGAGGCTCTTGCGTGGAAGAGCACTTTTTTTTTTTTGCTATTTTTTTTGTTTTTCAGACACCAGCTTTTCATCATAGGTCTTTAAAAAATGCTTTATAACTGAGTAAAAGAGACAGTGCTTTACTTTAGACGTGCAAAATACACCAATTGTGTTACATCTAGCTGATGGGTAAAAATTTCCAACACCAATTCACTGCGTAAGCCTCCTCCGGGTAGCCTGGCCTGTCGTATTAGTGCGAGCCCTGAAACTGAACTTTTGTTATATGAGACATGCAAGCCACTAAATACCATTGTACGTGTGGACCAGAGAGCACCTTTGAGAGTAGACACTTAAAAGTCCCTGGATTGTGCCATTACCATCGTCGCTGTAACACTGAAGCTAATTTAATCAGCCTTAAAAAAAAATCCACTCAGAGAGAAGTTGGCCTGACCTGATCGCTCGCCTCTAAAGGCTCTGCGGGGAAACTGTTAAAGAGGCCAAAATATCTTCCTGATCCAGCCTGGATTCATCGAGTGAAGCTACATGTAATGAAACCAGCGAAATACCTCACGATGCCAGAGTTATGTTCATGTATTTATTGCTTTAAGATACTAGATTTATTCAACTTCAAGTGTCTACTAGGCCACTCAAGAGTCCCACAACCAATGGTGAGGTCAGAGATTTTTGACGTCTGAGCAAACCAATAAATGAGCACATATACACTATACACAATATAAAAACAGCTGTTTAAAAGTATTTTGGTAAATTCATATGACTGTGAAATTGACTCCGTAAGATTCTATATCATGATGACAGTTAAATAGCTTGAAACATAATGGATCACAAAAATCTCTTGTTCTTCAGAGGGTGACAGAAGCAGTGTATGAAACAGGTGGGTAACAAAAACGAAGAAAAAAAAATGCAATGGCCGTTTGAGCAAGGCAGGGTGCAGCTGATCGTTTTAAGACAGGACTTGAACTGGCAAAGCAAACTAAACTGACCACTGACTGAGGCTTCTAGGAATTCTGAGCACTGTGACACAGATAATCTCTGCTTAGGTCCTTCTGCCAATTTTCACCCGTTTATTTCATCACAAAATCTGACTGTAACCCCCCACCCCACCATCCCACCCTGCTGACGAAACCACAAGGCATCGAACACGTGGACTCACACTGACTTAAAATCTCAGACACCGTCTGGCTACAGAAGGAACGAACAAAAATAGAGTAAAATCTGAGGCTGTGCAAATTCATTATCAATAGTGCACTATTACCACATTGCACACATGTAGCAGATGAACGGGGTGGTTAACGACTCAGTCAACTGGATTTTAAGTGACTGTGATTCCACAGACCGTCGTGCAGTAGCTGCGTGCCGCCTGCTCTCATTTACTTTGCGTGAAGGGTGGCGTGGCGCTGTTGGCACTTGCAGCGGTGGCACTAACTATAGAGAAGCCAGCAGGGGGCGCCGTGGAGCTGTGGCTGGGCTGCACGTCTTTTGGGATGCCACTGTGGGAGGCCAACTGATGGCCAAAGGCCGCGCTGAACTGAGGGAGCTGTTGCTTGGGCTGTGCGGAGGTCAAAAGATCGCGTGACGAAGATGGGAGCGAGGACGAGGGGGCGGGAGGAGTCGTTAGGCCAGTCAAGCCGCTCTGGGGCATCGCCGAGAGAGCAGCCATGGGCTGCAGCGTCACAGAGTGGGTGGTGGCGGGTGGAGTGGACAGGGAGGTGGATATGAGATGACTTTCTGATCCGATGAGACTGCCAAACTGTGTGGGGTCCGTGAGGGGGAGAGCGAGGTTGTTCCAAGTGGACCGGGGCGGTCCTGGCACCCCGCTCAGAGGGACTTCCAGGAGAAGAGGGGTGTCTGTCTGGAAAGAGCTGGTGTGGGGAGAAGATATGTGGTCACTGTATGGGGATGGCACATGCTCGCTGCTGTAGTGGCTGCCTTGGGGTGATGATGTGGGTGCGTCCGACTTGGCGAGAACGTGGGATGTGTGCGTCCTAGAAAACGTCCGCTCTGTTAAGGAGGTCTGAGTGAGCAGGGACGTGGTGGAGGGGGCCACTGTAGAAGAGGATGAGGTCAGATTGGAGCACGGTGCTTGGCTCTGGTTAACGGGCTGAGTTGGAGGTGAGGGGGGAAAGTGATCTCCAGTAGACTGCAGTAGATTGTCCTCCAGCTCAAGGCTGGTGAAGTTCTCGGGAGGGATGCGGCTGTTCAGCAGGTCTCCCATGCCCCCTGGTTGGACTGGACCAGGAAATACGGTCATGGCTCTGTGGTCCACTCCTTCTGTAGGGGCCAGGTCTCCCATGGAGGTTAGGCACACCAATGAGTCTGTGTAGGACCCCATAGCCTGCAGTGCACGTACCAACTCTTCAGCCTCCTCTGTGGTGGGCAGTAGCTCTCCATTTTTACCTGCACAAACATTTGCAATGTTATAAAAATCACAGACTATGAGGAATCACACACATGAAATAAACAGCTGTGCACAAAAATGAGCTGCAAGACAACCTTCAAACAAGTCAAAGTCCTGCAGGTCATCAGGTAGTCTGGGTAACACGTCTGAGAAATCTTCCTGGTTTAGCTCAAGGTCATTTGGAATGTCTGCTATGTCATTGGTGATATCATCAGGAAGCTCATCTGTACTTAGATCTGGAGTCGAAGGGCTCCTGCAACAAAGGTTAGAGGAAAAGAATTCAACATGCTATTGTAGTGAAGAGGCTGTCCAGACATGTGTGACATGTGAGCTTGTCTTTCACTCTGAATATCCTACACCATTAAATTTCTAACAGCAGCAGAGAGACGCAGCTGTGGCATACCTGATGCTGGCCTGTGAGGGCATTGCTAGGCTCGTTAAAGGCATTCCCAGGTTCCCCTGCGGCAACGCTGGAGGGATAGGTTTTTGAGGCCTCCGCGGGCCTCTCCTCCTCTTCTTCTTATGCTTTTTGGTGAGCGCCGGTGGTTTGGTCTTTTTACGTGGCTTTCGCTGTTGCTGCTGCTGGTGCTGCACCCGTCGGTTTCCGTCCCCACGCAGGAAGTTATCCTGTGCAGAAGGAAAAGAACAGATAAAGCAAATCAGATTGAGACCCCCCCAATCTTTGCGGCAATGGAAGTTTTTGATTGATCCCACAATTCCAACAGTGTTTACCCTTAAACACTGAACTCACCATCTTTTTGGCATGCTCTTCGCAGAGGGGTGTCTGGTGCGTGATATCAAACACGGGGATGGAGCACTGCTGACCATCTGCAAATTTGGCTGTGCAACTTGCAAAGAGCTGCTGGGAACGATTCAACAGAATGTCTACAGAGAACAGTTAAGGGAAAACCCCCCAAAAAAAAAAACCCCGCAATGCAGTCAACAGAGACCATGTGAACAACATACTCCAGCACAGGTGCAAACTTTATATATATCACAGTGTGTGATTTTAAAATAGCATGTACAACTGAGATTTATCAAATGCGCTTCCACATGTAGTGACCAGCTGTGCATAAGAGCGGCGGTGCAAAGGATACGCTGAAAGCAGTGTCGAGTGAAGGGCAGAGCTCTGTTGTAGCAGGGCTGGCCCTTTGTGCTGCCAGTGCAGGTCCCCGTGTCTGTGCTCTGCTGCGTTGGTGGAGCCACACTGCAGACACAAACACATCCAGGAATAAGCAAACACTGACAAACCAACATTTTTTATGTCGGGTTCATTGAAAGTTACATTCTTAAAGTTGAAATAAATAAGGTTCATGAGTGGTTTAACCGAGGTAAGGCCTACTAGCCATACTGTCAAACATAGCTTGACTTAAACAAAAGCAATGGCTGTGAGAATACCTCGATGAGCTGCAAGAGGCACCACTCAACTCCTGAATCAGCTGGCCTGCACATCTGGGGTTTTTACTGGCAGCGTGCAGCAAGGCTTTGCGGAAGGCATAGCGGTATCTCTTCTGCCGGATACGCGCCCTCTCCTGTCTGCACATGTGCTTGTACTTCTCCTGGAGGTACGAGCAAAGCCTAAACAGTCGCGTCCTCCGAGAGGAGCCGTCATCCTCTTCCAGCCTACAAGGGGAACGAATGACAATCATCATTATGAGAAGTTACACGCTATACAACAGGGGTTGAGGATTAAGGTACCAACCCATTCTGCGGCCTCCATGAGCTCTGAAAAGGAGAAAAACGCTCAGCCATGTCTTCTTCTACTTCATCATCATCATCATCATCTGCACTGTCCTCCGACCAGTCCAATCCTGGAAGAGACCGTGTTAGGGCAGCTCATCTATCTACTTATATCTACCTTTAAACAATCTTTCACAGTCATAAGAATCCACATGAATTCATAAACTATAAAAAGTTTGATCACCTAGATGAGGAAAGAGGTCTCCATGCTCCTGTTGTCTCTTGGCACAGAGCTGCACCAAATGTTGCAACCTGGCAAGGCAGCTGGCAGAAGGTGAGAAGGCAGTGGGACGCATGACGACCACATGCCGCTGATTGTTGCTGCCACTGTCCTTGCAAGCGGCAGGCAAGTGAGTAGCAGTCAAAGGCATTTTCCTGCTGAGCGATGGCCCAGAATGTTGCACTGGACTGGGTGCTGCATTGACGGGCAGCCCCGGAGGCAGAAAGTTGACCGTCTGAGGTGGTGGTGGATTGCATAATAAACCCTGCTGCTGTCCTGGGATGATGAAGGAAGTCGTGTTGGAGTGCTGGAGCTTCTGGAGAAGACCTGGCTGTTGCCGTGGAAGATGACTGTTGAGTGGTGAGGAAGGGTAGATGCGGGGGACAGGGGAAGGACTAAAGTGCTCAGGTGGTGTTTGGAAGAGGTCTGTGTCATGGCAGAGTTTCTGGTTAAGCACCAGGCGACTCTGTATTTTCTTCTTGATGGCGTTACTCTTCCGAGGAGTGCCCACCTCCTCACCATCTGTGTCATCCTCATAAAAGGCAAAAGGGTCCAGGCCTTCCCCGTCAGGGAGGGGTAACAGGCGTGTTAAGGGGGGAGATGGTGGTAGTTCATCTAGACCATTTGGGGCTTTCAGAGCTAGAGAGGGCACGGTAATATTGAGAGCCACTGACTCCAGGTGAGCAGCCCGTGAGCGCATTTCCTCTAAAGCATCGTGTTTCTTTTTCCGCTCCTTTTTGGGGATAAAGCCGAGAACCTGCAGGTGGCTGTTACAGTATCTGCAAAACAGGAACATATCCTCAGTACACCCTGCAAACCCATGACTGATTGGCTCTGTAAATCAAAGCAGAATCAATCATACATACCGGCGGTCCTCAGACTTGGGGATGGGGTTGGTACACCGCTGGCTGTTGTACTTGGCCACATACTCGCATTGCTTGAAGGGAGCAGTCTTATCCTCCAGAACGTGCCGGATACAAAAAGCATAGCCATTGAGTCTGCGCTGTTTGCAGAGCTTTGGGCTGTACGAGCACAACGGCTTATTGTCTATCTCTGAGAAGTGTATGTGTTTGCCTTCATACATCACGTGACTCTTGTCCTTGACAACATCAGCTGATGGGATAAAGAAAAGGAAGAAAAAAAACCCCAGTAATTACATCACAAGCACAGTGAGGAGGTAACTATGCATTCACATGCCGGATTAAGAGGCAGAGCAAAAGCAACATCTTCCACAACAGGTAATACTTTCCTAATATTAGGTAATCAATCACAAAAAAGCTGCATTGTTTTAGCAGTAATTATTAAGTGTTACATTGAAACAAATGAAAATAATCTGCTTCATCATGAAACTACTATGAGTGTGTGCTGTGATTAATAAACTCAAATTTAAATAGTTGAGAAAATTACAGTGTTAGCCATTTCCATCCGGACATTCCTGTTAGGCCCTTTAATTTTCGGTTTCAAGCTCTCTCATTAAGAAACAGGTGGCACAAAGTACTTGATTTTACTCCACTGTTCATTTATTACGAGATAATACAATGGAAGTAAAACAGTGGGTTTGTCCGACAATGTCAAAAGCTCCAAAACATTTACCTGACTGTGCATTAGCACGGTCAGGCTAAAAAATATACTCACTATAAAAATACTTTATTTTTTGACTCGACAACAAAAAATAGACTGCTCTTTTTAAAACAGTGTACTGAACTCTTCATAACAAACACACCGCGTAGCATATACCTTGACATGCTTAATTATCGTATGGCTCAGCTACTACTTTAAACTTTGTAGGGGTTTTTAAGTTGGTGTTGATAGTGGCACAGCTCTTACAGCTAAAGTGTTCACTGAACACACGTTAACATGTTGTAAACCTGTCCTTTACGTCAGCATAAGTTACATTAACAACTTTAGTATAGGAGAACCGGGCAGGCAGCAAACAGAAAGTAATGTTAGTTACCGGGGAGCTAGCTTGCTACATTAGCTTGGAGCCGATAGACAGCTGTGAAACTTTATACTACGACAGAGTAAATATATCCAAGTACAACAACTACCTCAGGCCTAATTAAAAAAATGTAACTTTATCCATCTTGAATCCAAAATATATAGTATCAAGACGGCCAAATACGGAAAGGTATATTCGCTTGTTAGCTTACAAAGCTAAAAACACAAATTAGTAGGCGGTAGCTAACCAGGAAACGGAAACATAAGCAAATGGCAATACTATAAAGGTTTATTTGCAGTTTAATTTATTTAGAAAAAGGTTAAAAATATAATACACTATTAATAAATAATCTCACCTAGTAATGAGATTTTACATTTTATAAACATGAAACATTTATGGTCAAATACTTTCAAACAAAGGGTATACATACGAGGCGTATGGCCTGTCCCCGAAGGCCTCCATAACAATCGATATGAATTATAACAACCACCCTTACATAATGTGAAATTAGCAGGCCTCATCGCTTAAAAATGGAAACATCTCCTTAATTTCCACATCTGCTTTAGGCACCAACTCATTTCGGTACATCACAAGCTTTTACATGAAATATGTCACGAATAAGAGGCCTTTTAGCTTCGATCGGACAGCGGCGTCTATTAAAACCACTGGCCGACTGAAGCCCGCGCAGAACGGTACACTTAGAAATCGAGGCCGGGGCTGTATACGATTTCGCTTACCTTGAATTGGTATGGGCTCTGTATGGTATTCGCTCCAGATAGACGGCCGAAATGTCTATTAGAATCAGCTAGGCTATTTGCGCATCGATATTGGAGATCGGTTAGTAACGGCGATCTTCACCGAGCTCGGTTGATCTTGAAATAAGGACGCATATAAATACAGGCTATCCAGAGCAAATTACAAGCAGTAGGTAGGCTGCTGTGGATTTTTGTTGGATCCACAGCGGACTCCTCACAGCACCACTACAGGCACTGCGGGGACATGACAACAGTCCGCTCAACAACAACAACCTCTCCTACCATATTGGAAATTCAACTTTATTAAAAGCTCCTTCAGTGCACAACTATCACGTTAATTTCTTTATGAAACACTTTGTGTGAAGGGTAGTGCCGTGTACTTGCCCCCCTTTAAAACCACTGCATGGAAGCAGACTAAATCAGGGGTGTCCAGCAAATTGTTAGTGAAATCCACCTGGACCACGACTATCATCCTCCATATGAATGAGTTATCAGCTCTGCTGCCACAGTGTTGCCGGCTTGTTCAGTAATGATGGACCACGTGGCAATAAAAATACCACAGCCGGTGAATAGAAAAGTTCAGGTGGAAGTCATTTCACACAGGAAAAGTGGAATTTACTGCATCAACACATTTTTTTTCCTTTTAAACAAAATGGCACAATCTTAAATGGAGGGTTAGACTTGCTAAAGGTGATTGGTTTATTAATATATATCACATTTACAAAGAGCTACACTTTTTAAATACTATTTATTTCAAATATGTCTAGGAAAATATATTGTCAGTTTTACAGAAAGACAAACATAAAGATTTTTAATCTTTGGTCACACCTACAAAAATGTGAGCACTGATGAAGGGAAAAAAAAACTGAGGTGTGCATCTTTGAATACTTGGCAGATCTAAGATGACATTTTCACTCAGCCTACATCACTTAAGACACATTTCTGCAGGTATGTTTGCTCACATTATGAAACTTACTCTATAGTAGAATATCCAAGTCAAAACAAGTGCAAAAACATTTCTAGGAAAGTGCAAATAAAGGAGTTGTGCGTATCGTCTAGGAACTGGATGGCTATCCATTTGTGCTTTAGCATATGGCTGGTTCATCCACAGCTTGTGCCCCCTCTGTGACGGCTTTCACACACTTCGCCATGGTTTGGGAGGCTCTGCTTATTGGATCTGTGGGTAAAGATTGAATTCTTAAATGTACCCTCAAATTACCGGCCAAAATTTATATTACACACAAACACGTATATAAACACACACAGAGACCATTGAGATTAGACCATGTATAATGGTAAAAAGACCATTACTACATAATGTAGTGAATTATAACTTACAATTTTAATGCTAAAATATCAAAAATATTTAAACAAAAGTGTCAAATTAGAATCTAAAATTAAAACCTGCTGTAAATTACAAATTTGTAATCACAGCAGATTATTTTTGTATAAACTTGGCTATAAGCAGACAGCTTGTAATGGTAACTATACATTACAGAAAGTACATTTATAATTTTTTTCAAACAATAAAATCACTGCATGAACACAGAGTTACTAGCAGCTCCTCATTACTACTGATTTATTTATTTTGTTAAATTGGCTATTGTTATTTATTTATTTACTTTAGATGTTCTATCTGCAATGAAAAGTAATGTAAATTGCTGATTTTAATTCCTCCTTATGCCTTTTGCAAATTAACAACAGCCCGATTGCAATGCTCTGAAAAAAATCAAAATTGTCAGCAGGGTTCCGTTTCCTCTAACCATATACGTAATAATAATAATAATGATAATAATAAAATGAGTATTTATTTCAATCTAGGATAATGTCACTAATTCAAAACTATAAAAAAGGGACATTTCAAGGATATTCCTGTATCAACATGAATAACTTAATAAAACCAAATCACTATATTCAATATACATCATTGATTTTGAATGTATGTTACATGAAAACACAACCATAATTTTTTTTAATCTGTTTACATTTCCTAGGCTATACATTCAGTAGTTTTGCCATCTTTAACTGCAGATTAAAATCCTCTCTATATTAGCACAGCAACAAATACAGTAGCTTTTCGCTCAACTTTATATTTTCCATTTATCTGGGATTAATAACACTGTTATGAGGAAATGTTTGGCTTTATCTAATATCTATTTGTATTTATCAAATTCTTGTAACTTCACTGATCACTTCAGCAGGAACACAGTGCCTAAGTGTCCCTCCTTATGCTTTGAAAGACAGGCATTAGTATTACTACATTATTTTCTCTCTATGAAAAGAAAACAAACATTGTTCTAATTAACTGATGTACTTGATACACTTAGAGCACTTTGGAATGAAAACAAGATTAGACCTGCATTAGCCAGAGGGAAAAAAAAGAAAAGAAAAAAAGACATGCACTGCTCAACTGGATTACTCGTGACCCACCTGTCATATAAAAGTCCTTCACAGTAAGCTGTGGAGGAACTAAAGGTTCAGTAAGGAGAGTCTGGTTCACTGCCTGCAATAGATAAGCCAGATATCATGCAGAACAGTGTGACATAAACAGAGATAAATTAACTGTACAAACCAACATTTAAATCCAGCTTTACATTTCCTCCCCCTCTATGATCACCTAAAAATAGAAATGCTAAAAGAAGATAACAGCTGACCTTAGATAGCTCATTAGCCTGCTTAAAATAGTTGGCCTCCTCTACGTCATCATATCGCACGAGATTTGGGGAAACCTCTGCCAGCCTATCACGCACTTCATCCAGAGTGTCATACGGCAGAGTCACTCCAGCAAGCTTAAAAGCGTATGAAAACAACACAGAGCATTTAGTCACATTTTATTTCCCTGAGCCTCGCATGTTTATGCTGTGCTCTGGTTCACCTCAGATAAGACTCTGATGATCTTCCAGTCCTCTCTGGCTGCGCCTGGAGGAGTCACTGCCACCTTGGTCTGCTGGGCACGACCTTCAGTGTTCACATACGTGCCACATTTCTCAGTGTATGCAGCTCCGGGAAGGATGATATCAGCCATTGGTGCACTGGCATCGCCATGGTGACCTGGGCATTACGAAACAGAAAACTGGAATTAAGTAAAAACAAACTTATTGTTCCTCAACATGTATTCTTCAAGTCCCTAAGGGAATGGTTACCACTATTTTTCCAAACGTGCCCTCGTTTGATTGTGCAAGTCTTGAACTGCTTCTAGTTAAACAGACTTTCTTGTCATTTTTAACGTGGAATTGAGCAACAGTTCTCCAGGCCTTCTGATTCAAGCCTCACCATTTCTGGTGAGGCTTGAAGGAAGGCTGACTGTCATTTTTAAGGAAGGGAAACTGGAAGAAGAGGCAAAGGTATGTCAAATTACACAAGAACTGCACCGAAACTAAGTGCCAACAGGCCTTAAGGAGCAATGACTTGAAATTTTGGTTCAAACTGCCATCAATATGTATGGAGGAGGTTATGAGAGAGGTACAACAGTGAGTGTCTGTAGCCATCTGTAAAACAGATGGAGCCCAGACCTCAGCAATATTAAAGGAGTCTGGATCAGCTAGACCGAGAACACAACAAAAAGGCAGCTGACAGCCAAAAAAGAGGTTTGAATTATCCTTCAAGAAGCCTGGAGAACAATTCCTGAACTATACCTGAAGAAATTACAAGAAAGCTTGCCTAAGAGAGTTCAGGCTGTGTGGAAGAATAAAGTTGGTCATATTGTTTCCCTTAAATACTGCATATCCATGCATTTTTGCACCCAATTCCCATTTTTCTAGCAACATATGAAAAATATGAGGGGTAGATAAAGAGTGAAGGATGTTGTAGAGATACCATTTGGGCACTTAAGCCATTTAAATGTCTTTAAATAATTTAGTTTTCTGTCACACCTGTAAATAAAGAAAAACTTTTTCTTTATTCATACATCCACCTATTTTCTTAACCCTTATCCAATCCAGAGTTGTGGTGGGGCTGGCGCTTATCCCAGCTGCCATGGTGCGAGAGGCAAGGTGCACCCTGGAGAGTTTGCCAGTCTATCACAAGACTAACACAGAAAAACCCACAACCATTTACGCTTACATTGACAGCAAGGGCAAACTTTAAATCACAGAGTAACCTGATATGCATGCCTTTGAACTGTGGGAACATGGCAGATTATGTCGTGAGAAAAACACCTACACAGTGAGAAAAGGTCATGGGTTCAATTTTTGCTTTTCTGTGCCGGTGTTTGCATGACTCCACAGTGACCCGGAATTTTAAGGTTTTGCAAAAAGCTGACCTTGATAAATTATCAAGCTATTCTTAGGCAGATCTTGGCGAGTGATGGAGCCAGCATCAGCTCCAAGTAGGAACAGAACTTTGGGTGGGTTCTTCCTGATAGCATCCACTCCTGGCTTGTACCCCAGATCAAGTGCAGCTACTTGACTGGCAATCCTGATAAGATGAGGACAAAGGTTACACTCACTACAGTAAAAATTCCTTTTCAACATGGTATTGTTATTAAAAAACTTTACTAATAATTTTTACAAGCATTTGACCTGTGAAGCACATTGAGAACCTTCCAGGTTTCCTCCACTCCACTGCTGACGCGAGCATTGTGAGCAATGGTTGACACAGCAGCCATTATCGCAGCCCCATCCTCTCTCTGCAGGCAACCGCTGCCAACTACAACAGCAGGATGCTTTGCTTTGGCCATGACCTGCAACAGAGAATAAAACACACAAAATTAGTGAGAGACATTCAAGTTGATTGATGACATTCAAAGAAAAGAAAGGTCAGTGTTACCTGGAAGAATGGGTGAGTTCCTGAAGCAATTTCTTCAAGGATCTTGGCTGATTCACCAAGATGCTCATATGTGTAACTAAGGTCCACCTCCTTTCCCACCAGAGCCACATGTAACTCATTGTGCAGCCAGCTATAGCAGAGACACCAATGTTTACACAGAAGAACAGACTTATGTTGTCAGATTTACAGTTTCCATTGTTAAACAGCCATGATTTACTTACCCCTTTCTGACTCGTGCATTAAACAATGGAGCCTCATACCGTGGGTTAGTGCCAACTAAAAGTAGCAGGTCAGCTTCTTCAATCCCGGCAATTCCAGTGTTCAGAAGATAGTTTGAACGCAGGTCAGATCTAGAAAAGTCAGTTAGTAAAAGAGTTGGACGTGTGTGCATCAATGGCTTCAATTTTCATTTCTGGTATTCTTTTTACCCTGCTCCAGCCATGGGGAACGTCTCCTCAGTGCACAGGTTGTCACTATTCAAATGGTTCAGCAAGTCTTTCAGGGAAATGAGAGCCTCCGCATCGACCAAACCTCCAGCAATGGCAGCAATGTCCTTTCCTTCAACTCCTTGCAACTGTCAAACAAAAACAGTTGGTATTCAGGTATTCTGAATCAGTGTTTTAAATTGCTATCCAATGTTTTGATGAGCTTAGTTACTGTAATTCAATTAAGAATTTCGTACTGCTCCAGCAACTCGAGTCAGCGCGTCTTCCCAGGATGTGGGAACCAACTGCCCAGACTCATTTTTCACCATTGGCTGAGTAAGCCTCTGTCTCTTAAGCCCATCATAAGCAAACCTGCCAAGTTCGAGCAAAAAGCAGTTCAGCAATAATGTAAACACCAAGCACAAGTC